ATGAAATGTAACACATTAAAATAAAATCTGCTGGCTCCTGGACACCCTGCTAACTCAACTGAAGTCACTCCTGAAGTCCACCTTTCAGCCAAAGATTAGACAGGGCTATAAAACAAACAATAACACACATGAGGAACGTGCTTCTTAGTTCAATCAAGTATGTGAGACCAAATGGACAACACCTGCCCAAAAGCAAAGAAGGCAGGAAGGGACAGGAAAAGTGGACAAATGGACATGGGGAACCCTGGCTGGAAAGGGGGAGAGTGCTGACACATTGTGGGAATTGCAATCAATGTCACAAAATAATTTGTATATATATTTTTGAATGAGAAACTAATTTGAGATATAAACTTTCACCTAAAGCACACTAAAATTAAAAAAAAAATAAAAAATCTGCTGATTACATATTATGATGGTATTTAAAGAACCTAAGGTTTTCACGCCAGATTTTATTTCCAAATGTTTTAACATATAGCGAACATCATCAGATATGTTCGTCAATTCTTTATATTAAGTCTCATGTCACAAATTTCTCTCAGAACTCAGCGCTAGAAAAAAAAATGAACTAGTATAACGTCTGTTAATTAGATAATCATCATGTTTCCCTCTTTGCTGTGGCTTCTAGGTAAGCTCAGAGCTAAAACTTGTACTCAATGATACAGCATATTTTTTTGGTACTGATTTTCTGATGTAGTTAATATAATTTATTGCTTATTTTTTCAGTTATATTTTAACCTATGTAACTGTTTATTACAAAATGCTGCCTGAAATCCTTTATGAAAGCAGCTTGGATATAAATAAATTAAAATCAAGTGTTATCAATAGAAAAATGCTACCAAGCTCACAAGCCACACATAAGGTATAACAATAATGTTCAGACTATTAAAAAAAAGGCTGTTGAGCAAACTTTGACTTATGGTGAATCCATATGTGTGACAGAATTCTTAGAACTGTGCTCCATAGGGCTTTTAATGACTGATTTTTCAGAAGTAGTAAAAAAAAAAAGTCTTTCTTCCGAAGAACCTCTGGGCGGACTAGAACCTGCAACCTTTCAGTTAGCCCTGAGCACTGCTAACAGTTTGCACCACCCAGGGACTCCGTTCAGAGTATACATACAGTAAAATTTGCCCTTTGAGTAATCTCTGAAGAGTGATAACAAATGCTTGATCCACTGGATGCATGCACACACCCAGTTTATAAACAGAGATTTTATCTTGTGTCCAAATACCCAAATTCATGGAAAATAACGTTATTGTGATATAATTTTAAAAACTGTCTTATCGTGAATTCTATTTAGGAAAACTTTTTTTTTGGCAGAAGAAAAGAGAAATTCTGCAAATTCTACATTTTAGAATCAGTGATAGGTTCAGCCTCACAGTGTGAATCGATATGGCAAAATCAAGATGGTTTATTACACAAAAATTTTCATATTAGAATCATGATTCTCAGTTTAGGGAATCAAGAATGGCATTTAGGTGGCAATGTTTAACTCTATGTAAATGTTAAGTTTCAAATTTTCTCAGCTATCTGTAGTGACTTTCTCCAAGTAAGCTGTGCTTAATTTGCAGTTTTCCCGACTGTGGTTCACAGCGGTTGCTGAGGTGACCCTGACTCCTCAGTCTGTCTTACCTCAACAGGTCATATTTACAGCTGTCCTAAGATGGTGACTCCACCTCTGGGGCAGATCACAAAGATTCTATGGAATAGTCTCTACAGTACTCAGACACACCATTCACTTCAGCAACAATAAAAAAGATCAAGCAATCTCTAAATGGTTTAGGGTTCTAAAAAAACAGCTAAGGGATCGAAGAGCCCATGTTTTTCTTCTAATTCAACAGGATAAACTGCAGAAATTCTCTCATTAGATTGCTGATTCAAAAGCAAAACATACAGAACTGCCACGTTAGAAGAAGCTGTCCTAAGATGATCTTTACAAATTTCCTTTATATTAAAAAATACAATCGAATCAACTGATCATCCTCCAAAATAATTTCAATAAGAGGGACCTGGTAAACGAGAAATATCTGACAATGAGGTTATAAATTTCTATATGTTTGATTTCTACTGACAGGTCTGGATGTTTTTTCTTAAACATCATAACCTTAGATACCAGACACGAACTTCCTGTATGAGAGTAATCACACTTAGTGTGCATTTTAGCAAGTATCACAACATAAAATATCCTGCCACTGAAAATCAAAGTACTATGACAAAAATATAATACATACATAGAATTAATCAGTTAGCTAAAAACACAAAATAAAATGAAAAAAATCTTTTAACTGTCCTTAGCAGAACTACTATGTCTTATAATTTATCAAAAAAATAGAAATTGTTTGAATGACAACTGACCAGTACTAACTATATATCATATTTACCAAAATGGAGCTCATAATTGATATGACTTACCTTAAGGTAGGTAACTATGCTTTATAATTATAATTTCCTTATTATAAAATATATTACTTACTTGAAAAAAAGCAAAAAATAGTTTAGGATATTGTCTTCATTTGAAAATATGATGGAAGAAAAGCAGCAAACAAAGCCATAGCGTCCAAAACAGATAATTCACCAGTCCTCTTCTGTATTTCAAACAGTCCTTTCTACAAAATGGCTTCCATTGCTAACCTGGAGCAGTCAAACGCTAAGTAAAAATCAAATGCCTCTCTCTGGAACTAAAATAAAAATTAAAAATCTAATATTTAAGATACATGTGTTTGTTCTGCAATAAACCACAACACAGTGATCTGAAACAAGATCTTAAAAAAAATATATGCCCACTCTTTTTGTCTGTCTGTTTTTTAATTCGTGAATGGAATTCACCACTTAGAAGGTATTAAATATTAGATTATTTGCACCATAATCATGAAGAGATATATTTGAAAAATTTAGAACTTACCTTAAGGAAACATTAAATTAATAACCTTAATGAACAACCAAAAATAAATATTACTAGCATTTTGGTACACATAATAAAATATAACTTATTGGTAAAATGTTTATAAATATATATTCTCTAAAAACAGCTAAGTATTATTTATACAGAAAATTATTTTATTTTGATGAAGAATAAATTTAGCCTAAGCTTCCACTGCTTACTGGTATTACCGTGACAGCAACAGGCTATCAATAAAACGTTTCGTGAAAGACACAAAATATAAGAAAAAAAATCCTCAGGAACAGCCTTTGAAGAGGTTCTATAGCCCTCTTAATATTTTAGTAGGAAGAAACTCAATTAATAACCTCATTATACTATCTGTGTACCTCAATTATACGTAATACTTCTAAAATTCCCTTTTGTTATCATTGGGTGAACCGCACCCTATATGGCAGATACGGCATATGCAAAATCACAAAGATTTCCTCTAAATTTGGCCTCCACTTGTGTCGGCTTTTTCACAACAGCACCAAAGTAGTAGAATGTTATGTAAATTAATGTATTTTATTGTATCAGTTATTGAATTCCTCTATGCAAACAGACCCTACACTGATTCAGAACCCAAATCCCTTATCATAGAAGACAATGGTAAGGTTTAAGATCATGTTTGCGGGAAAATGTGTAAGTTTGAAAAGATTCTTAATAAAATGTATGGTTAAAAAAAAAAAGAGCAGTGTATATTTTATAAAGGCTTTAGAAAGGCTGACAGCAAAAGTATAAGACCCGCTGATTTAACAGGAACCATCTGACAATTCTGGTTCCATGGCCACTGCAATGAGTATCTGTGGAGTTAGAAAGCCACCATAAAACAAATTGACAATGATTTTCCTATAAATGAACATTGTTGACCAAAAAAAAAAAAAAACAAAACTGAGTATATTTATATTGTTCCAGTCATTCTCAGAAAGTAAAAGACAATCCAAGGTCAAATTAAAAATAGCCAATAATTCCTGTTCTTTCCCTTACCGCCTCCTGCCCTCCACTCCAGGAATTAACATCCTATTTAACTGAGAGTATTTTTATGTTTAAACAATGTTATATTGTTTAAACACATATTACAACAAACAGAAGGCTTATTTTGTTGCTTGAAAATTATTCTATTTTAGAAGGAAGAATACCTAGGGGAAGAAGCTTATGTGTGGTAAGGAGAGTATGGTTTGATTTCAATGGGAGAAGAGGTGTTTAGAGCTAGTATCTGATAGGGTTTTATTGGGAGAGAAAACTATCTTTTTATTGTTATCAATTGCTCTTAAATGTTATTCTAATAAAATTTCACAGAAATTTCCTCAAGAGGATACACTAAAGGCCTTTGATTATATATACCCTAAAGAATGTATTGTACCACAAAGATACACACCCAATAAGATTTTTTTTTATTTGAAATTTATAAAGATAATTTTCCATGCTGACAGTGCACATTTCATCCATAAGTTTGAAGAGTCAAATGCTACCACAGCTGGGGGTTATTCTGCCAAATGGCTTCCAACAGGGACTACAGAGATGGAGGCTAAGAGGCATGTGTATGTGCATGTAGCAAAAGACAACAGATCTGATGGGAAACAGCCCTTCTCTGAAGTCATTTTTATCAATTACCATCTGAGTGCGCTAATCAAACATAGGGTCTAAGGGAAAAAAAGCAACACTACGAAGGAAAAGCAAATATTAAAACACATGCTTTATTACCTGCAGAGATTAAAACAAAAAGCAGAGAGCGCCCTGATATATTTCATAGGGATTTGCTGAGGCTGAGGGGAGGGGTAAGGGGCAGATACCTTAAAAAAAAAAAAAAATCCATCATGAAAGGAACTGAGACAAGATTATTAAAAAGAGGCCAAGTTATAGCGCACCATGGGATTTTTAATCTGGCTACCTGTGGTTTTTCTAGTTAAAGCCTTATTCATCCCCAAAACGGGGGTGGGGGGGAGAAAACAAAAAAAATCACATTTATATGTCAGTTTTACAAATGATCAAACAGCGTGCATCAATAAGAATAAGAAAACATTAAGCGCTGATGACTTTTTAAAAATAGACACCCGTTTTATCAAATATTATTGATAATTACCTGTGCATCTCGTTTCTTGAACTCTTGAATTTGATTTTCATGCTCCATATTAACAGCGCAAAGCTGTTTCTCCAGGTTTTCAATTTCCCGTTCATGATCTCGGACTAGGCTATCCTTCTCTGCGTTATGCTGCTGTAATAGGTGCGTCTTCTCCTGTTCATGCTCCAGCTTCAGCTCTACTATCTGATTGGACAATGAGGAGGACAGTTCATCAACAGAACATCCTTGTCGTCATGACAACTCACATACAGCTTTATTTTTCTCTAATTTGTCCAAGTTGAAAATTTTATTTTTGCGTCATTACTACCTCACCCTTGAAGTACTCACATTTTGGGGGAAATTTAGCCAAACCTCCTAATATTCAAAGAAGGTGGGCATATTCAGCAAATCCTTCTGCAAGCTGTTGACACAAATGTCTGAACGTGGAAAAAATTTATGGTGAATGCTAGGTATTTTCTCCCCAAGAATCCTAGTATTAGTGATCAGCATGGCTATCAATGGTTAATCGTCGTTACGCTTTGCTTTTTGCTTAAACATATACATGTAAAGAGCAGCAATTACATCGGTCAGTTTTCTTTATAATTTTCAAATAAAAGATCTGAGCTAAATACGCATCTGGATTATTGTATATACAGTTGTCTTTTTAAAAATGAAATGATAAATTTCAAAGCTCTATTATCTCGTTGTCAGCTACGGTATACCAACATAAACAGATGTTATGTGTTCCAGAAAGGCACCTGCTGTGCTGCAAGCTTGCGCCATGATTTCATAAAAAGCATTCTATTCTCAGGATCCTTTCCCAGTCCACTCCACACTGGAGACTGTGACCTTGGCCAGTCTTAGCCTCTCCCTGCTAGACTGAATGGCAGCCTGAGACCAAGGGCCTGGTTGCTGCAGCTTTGATACTAATCCTCCCAGACTGTGCACAATGGCACCCTACCTGGCCTGCAAACTATAGCCAGCCAGGCTGTCTTTGAAGCAGGTGATGAATAGGGGACTGCAGGAAGCCAGCTTCCCCAGTGAACTCCAGGCCACACAGCTGCTAAGAACAGTCACTTGGATTTTTCTTCAGTTTTGGTGGATTTCAGGGCAAAAAACTGCCGTGATCTAGAAAATGTTGCGTTATTTTTCGGCGTGAGAATCCATCTTCAAAAAAGCTAACAGTAGGAGCTTGCTCCAAATCCATCTTGTTTCGTGCAATGAATCACCAGACAACCTTATCTTAAAGCTATAGCATTCATTTCTCTCAGAGTGCACGCTGCACTAAATTTCAGAAGTGATTTTCTTTTTAAATTTGAAATTCTCATCCCCTCATTTCAAATCAAGAATCCTAAAACACGTGTTAAATTTGCTTTAAAAAAAAAGGTTTCAAAACGTTCTCTTATTGTGGTTTTTCTTAATGAACTGGAAAATCAACAATAAATTTCTGACCATTCATACTCTTCTTACATTATTTAGAAGAAGAAAGTATACTAGCTCTTAAATATCTACACTTAACAGAACAAAATAATGTACAAAGTAATACAGAAAAATGTATTTTGCATCTGAGAAAAAAGCAGTATTTTAGTGACTTTACATTTATTTAACATTTAGTCCTCCTTATTCTCATATTATTCCACTGTTGGCAATATACAGGAAAAAATTAGAATAAAAATTTTCTCCTAATATACTACACCAAGTAATAAAGAAGTTTTCTTTATTTAAAATCGATGTATATGTTTTATTCCCTGATTCACACAACTACAATGTTAAAAGAGAGAATTTTAAATTGTATTGATATTACAACTTTTTTTTTTCAGGCAGCTGAGTGTATAAATTATTGAGTTATTTCTTGGGCTCATTCTTATTCCTACTTAGTGTTATACTATCAAGCATTATTATAATAAAATTATAATTTTTAGTTAAAATTATTCAAGTATGTAAGACATGAAGAGAAGCAGAAGGAGGCAGAAAGTTCTATTGGGATCTCAAAAACCTCAGAAAAATAGGGAGAATAGACGTGATTTGATAGAAAGCAAAATATCTTACAATGCTAAGTAACCAATTGACCAAAAGTAACCAAAACAACCAATAATTGAAGCAGAAGAATTATAGAATTTTTCTCCCAAGAAAAGACACATGACTAGAAATAGCAGTATAATCATCACAAGAGATGACGCTGCCTCGTTCTAGGCTCTAGTAACAATGCACCTCCATGGTAACTTTCTCTGAGTCATCTGAGGTGTTCTGATAGACTGATCAATGACCTCGGCCAAATTCCAGTTTACTTATTTTTAAATATAAGGAAAAATGAAATCATGATAATGGACTTTCAAACCTGAAGACAGATGTTTATAAATAATTATTATTTTATTATTCTGCCAAGGCCTGTTACTCAGTGCTGCTAGTTTAATCTCAAGGTTGCTAGATAATAAGCTTCTGTTGCCTTTTACAGTGAAACATATCAAGCTTATCTGACTAGTCCAGCACTTCTTGGCCAGCTTCCAGATGTTATGGGCCCTTTCTGGCCTTTGCCCAGGTTTCCTCACTGTCAGCATCTTCTGGCAGAGGTGTCTTCTCAGGACAAATGTAGTGTTCAGAGGAAAAACCCTAATGCTCTGGAGGCATCTTGATGATGGTATTCACGACCACAAAGGTCATCATGGATGTGGGCCTGTGTCTTAGTCATCTAGTGCTGCTGTAACAGAAATACCACAAGTGGATAGCTTCAACAAAGAGAAATTTATTCTCTCACAGTCTAGTAGGCTACTAGTCCAAATTCAGGGCGTCAGCTCCAGGGGAAGGCCTCCTCTGTCGGCTCTGGTGGACAGTCCGTGTCATCAATCTTCCCTTGGTCTGGGAGCTTCTCTGCGCAGGAACCTCAGGTCCAAAGGATGTGCTCTGTTCCTGGCACTGCTTTCTTGGTGGTATGAGGTCCCCCTATCTCTCTGCTCTCTTCTCTCCTTTATATCTCAAAAGAGATTGGCTTAAGACACTAACCAATCATGTACACCTCATCAGTATAACTGCCGCTAATCCATCTTATTACATCACAGTGACAAGAGTTTACAACCCATGAGGAAATCACAGACTACAAAATGGTACACAATCACACAGTACTGGGAATCATGACCCAGCCAAGTTGACAGACATTTTTAGGGGACACAATTCAATCCTTGACAGTCTGTGTTAAAATTCAAGGTCTTACGGGTGCCTAGCCCCTTCCATGTAAGTGAACGTTAAAAGAATTCTTTGGACTTTCCAGTTTGGTCTTTTACTTGCGGGCAGATCTCAAGGGTAACGTGAGGCAGCATTTAACTTCTTTACCTTGGACTACTAGACTTTTTTTGACCAATAATAATGTCTAATGGAGTTAACTGTAATCATCAGGTGGAAAATTATGGATAATATGCAGGATGTGAAAGCAGGCAGCATCGACAAGGATGAACATTAAGTGGTCAATACAGCCTCTAAGTCAAGGTGCTCGAAAACTCACAATATGCTCTAGGGGGGAAATGGGATGCATCATCACAAAGGACCCTGCTTAATTCATACTGTCTAAAGATTTCCGGGTAATACAGGAGCGTAACTTTCAAGAGCCCTAATTATGAATGCATTGAACTGTGAACCAGATAACCATACAAGGGACGTGCCTGCTCTACATGTATTAAAACAGAATGGTATGTCTTTCAGGGAAAATGGAAGTAATCAGTCATCATGTGCAAGCATCTGATAGCATCCTGAGATGCTAGGGCTTCATGGCTTGGTCACGGGAATTTAGGTGAGTAAATGTCTTTAGAGCCTAGGAACTATCAGGTTGGCCCACAGGAAACTGACACTTTTGTAGGTCAAAGCAGGAGATGAATAAAGGTCCTCCTCCATCCGCATAACTCTGAACCTGAAGCTCAAGAGTGAAGTTAACTGTCCCTGAAAGTGGCAGGCCCCTGTCGCAGCCTAAATCATCCACAGACTGACATGATGTCTTCGCTCCAACTGAGGTTTCCAGTTAGGTGTCCAAGGGCAGGAGCACATTCCAGGTGCCAAGAAAGACCAAGATGGAGCTGCTAGATATCCAACTGTAAGGAAGTCTTGGAGTACACAGTTTAAGTCCTAGTAATTGTTTTATCGTGAAATTAGTGCTAGCAAATATGGCCTGAACACCTTTTAATAATATTATAAAGAAACATGCAAGGGGGATGGAAAAAATCATTACTTCTCAGTACACTACACAAGGAAGACTAACATTAGCCCAATAATACACTTCATTGTCAGAAACTCCAATACCAGAAACATAAATTATATAAGTGATATGATATACTACAAGGCATTAAGAAGGATAAACTATGGTACAAAATACTAATTAAAATGATTCCAAATGTAACTAAATTACAAAATCTATATTCTACAAACCAGGTATAAGAATGGATTAAAGCTATTGGAAGTAGGGAGAGAGGTTCTACTATCTTCTGCTAGGAAAGGAGGAAGAGAGGACATGTCTACAGTGAGCAGGCCTACCATTAGATTATTCCTAAAACTTAATGATAAATGCTGTAATTTCAAGTGGATAGAAATATGAAATCTTAAGAGTCTCGAGGACCTTAGAGGTTACCTAGTATGTTAACCTTAATCTAGGAATATTCTCTATAACATCCTGACAGATGGTCATTCAGTTACTATGGGAATGGTTTTAGTGACGGGATTAACAGTACTCCATAGCAACCTATTCCCCATACTGAATACAACTGTCCCTGGAACTTCTGGGTAAAGGTAGCAGAGGAAGCTAAAAATTGAGAAAAGAACAACAACACTAAAAATGTGAAAAACAATGCAAGAGAATATTTACTGGCAACAACCAAAGAAAGTAAGAGGGATAATATCACGGCCATAATTTTCAAAAGGTGGCAGTCAAAGAAAGAAACAAATTCTAAAATTGTCTCTCATAGAAGCATAGGCCTCAGAGCTCCCATAAAAAAGAAAACACTCTCCAATATGTAGAGCAAACCCTGGTGTAAGACATTAATAAAATGCTACAAGACAGGCTAAGTATCAGTTTCTCTAAAACAGGCTGCTCATAGCTCCAACTAAGCTCTTCTCCTCTATTCCTATCTTAATCTCAGGCTATAGAAAAGTAAATGCAGCAAAATATTTATTCCTTCAAACTGAAACTAAGAAGAAGACTGAAAATAAAGGCAGAAAAGGAGTCA